TGGTTTTCCTTTCCTCCCCTTTCCCTCATCTTCCTTTCTTTTCCATTTTTGGGACTTTGTATTATTTAATATTTTTTTGGCATAGCCTTTTTGGGATTGCCCTCTTTAGAAGCATCTTGATTTTTTTTTTTTAATATCAATGTATGTATTGGGTTACACATAGATGAGGCTAAAATCAATTTTTTAACCCATCATCTTATAAAATTAATAAGTTTTAGCCTATAACCTTATAATATGACACTTTTAGTTTTTTACCTTACAAAATTGATAGGTTTAACCCCTTACTTGTAAAATTGGTAGGTTTTAACCTTTCACCTTATATTATGACACTTTTAACCCCTTATTTATACGAATTAAAGAAAATAGACCTTATTTAACATCAAGTTATAATGTTCTGTCAATTCAGTTAACTGACTGTTAGTTTTGTTAGTTGACTGTTAGTTCTGTTAGTTGACTGTTAGTATCCATTAATATTTTGTTAATGGAACTAACAAATAAAATTAAATTTAAATTTCATGTTTTTTATAACGGAATGCTAACGGATGTTAACAGTCAATTAACAGAACTAACAGGACTAACAGAATGTTATAACTTTATGTTAAGTGATGGTTATTTTTTTTAATTCGTATCGGTGAGGAACTAAAAATATCATAATATAAGGTAAGAGGTTAAAACCTATTAATTTTGTAACGTGAGGGGTTAAAACTTACCAATTTTGTAAGATAAAATGTTAAAACTATCATATTATAAGGTTATGAGTTAAAACTTATCAATTTTATAAGGTGGGGGGCTAAATGTTGGTTTTTGCCCATAAATGCCGGGCCTTCTCTTGTTCACATACAAAGAATTTCAAAGGGTTTGCTTTTCTTCTCACATGGGTGATTTGGAGAGATGTGTTTCTAGAGATATAAAATGTCCAAAATCAATGAAGAAGCATATTGCTTATTAATGTTAAATTATTTGAAGAATCTCTTAGTATTAGCTTTGATGATTTATCTTTGATTGAATTGATAATACTACATACTAAAAAGAACGAAACTTATAGTTGAAGTGAAGAGGAAGAGCATCAAAATCTTGAAATATAACTATACAAAAGAAAGGAATGAAGGGTTATTATCAGAATAATTAATGACTGAATCCTACTTTAGTTAGAAGGGGATGCCTTTACTCTTCAAACATTAAAACAGAACAGGGATTATGCCTTTAAAGCACATAATTATTTGAAGAGAGAACTGACTAATTATGATGAAAAAAGCCTCAAGAGTAGTGCTAATTCCTTTATGTCAATCATTTATGCATAATGCACTTCCTTTTCTTCAGGCATCACTTCTTGCTCCATTTCTCTTCTGTGATCAAAGGTAATTAGAACTTTTAATTTAAAAGGGGAAACCCAAAATCCTAAGGATATCATGAAGTCATGGATTGAAACCATTTGGATTAAAAAATAATTTTTGAAGACATAATTCACATAAACACATGTAAATCTTTTGTAAATTATCAACTGTTAATTCATAATACAATAATTGCTATGATGATATTATATTTAGTAAATTATCTCAATGATTAAATTTTAAAATTAATAGCTGATGAATTATGTTAGACTAATATTTGTAAACAGATCCTATTTCATTTTAAAAATATATCAAGAGAAGCAATTGTACTTTAAAAAATTGTCATGATGTTTTCATAGATCTTGATGCATAGAACAAGTAAAGCCATATTGAAATGAATGGATTGAATTTCTAGTTTCTAGAACAGAAAAGGGTGGAGAAATTCAAAGTCATCATAGATTTCAGGGTTGACCCAAGAGGTATTGTTCAATGATGACAATGCCTTTTATGGGTGTCATTGATTTATAATTGAATTCCACTTAGTCCAATTTCTTCAGTTTAAAGCAAAATTTGTCAGCGAGGTTGAAACAAAAGGGGGGAGATCAATAATTTTCCAAAAGGATGGCTGCAAACATCAAGTGAAATTATGGAAAAATAGGAAGAGCGATAGGGAAAGGCAAGAATTTTGGGATGCTTTGGAAGGTGATTGAAGAAGAGAGGGAAGAAATTTATTGGGTTTCTTAAATCTTTACCTCTCCAACTTTTATACGTAAGCTTGAATCAAACCCGTCTCTATAGGGGTGCCATGTGATTGGGATATTTGTCGGTTGCTCTCCGGCAACTTGCACTACCTCAATTGATTGACGGAACTTTAGTCTTCAGGTAATTGGAAGTTTCAGATACGAATTTTCTTGTATTAGAGGGATGTGGAAATGTTGAATGTACTCTCAAAGTTACAATAAACATCATTTGACCTTTTTTGCATATAATTTAAGATAATGTAATATTTGTTTGTTTTATATATTATATAAAGGAATTAAGAAAAATTAAAATGTTTTGATAATTAAAATATTAAAAATGATAATGAAATTTTTTTTTGAATGGCATAATAATAAAAAAAATAAAATATTCTAAATGAATCAACACATAAAAAAAATTTATTAAAGATATATAAATAATTTTACTGAATGTGTTCTATCATTTTAAATACCAGGATGTTTTTGAGTAAAGAGAAGAAAACCACTAATTAAAAGCAACTACCACAATCGCCCACCATTAATTTTCTCAAGATTATCACAGTATTTCTTTCTATCTTCTCCCTCATATGCTCATCTCAACATTTTAATTACGTGGACTCGATCTCTTCATAGTCCGTACCACCACACAACTATTGTTGCTAATTATAATTTGTATATATATAGTTTACAGTTATTTGAAGCAAGTTAGGATCAAATTAGGAAACTAAAATTTCACTTTAACTCCACCTAGCTAGAATCTCTGCTCGTCACAAATCACAAATTACGAAAACTAAACTCAGTCATTTCAAAACAAATTAATAATGATAAATGGGAACAAAATCTAAGACTAAAATTTAAAACTAATAATATAATAAAGATTATGTTATTTAAAATATTAAAAAATAGATATTATATTATACGTATAACTAATATCTCATATCTAATTTAAAATTAACTTACAAAATTATCTCTTCAAACATCCTAATCAACTTTTTAGAGAAAGAAGAAAAAGGAAGCCATAAATGGTAATTAACAACTAAACTAAACGGACCCTAAATGGTTGTACTTTTTCGTACATTTGTATATGAAACGTAGTCTTTGTTGAGTATACGAAGAAGCACTAGCCTTTAGCTATCAAAGCACAAAAGTAGCATTTTTTGGCAGCTAGACATGCATTCAAAGAAACTTCGCTTAAAAATGACATGTGAATGAGCATAAAAGGTTTGTTGGGTTTGCTTTCCTCAAGTCATCCATCCAATCGCCCACCATTGTTTGAAGCTTAGAAGCTGCAACTTCAGCAAAGCAAAGTCTTTTCTAGTCTGGCTGGCGGGATTTTTTTACTTTTCTTTTTCTTCCAAGTGTGAGTAGGTGGACGTGTATAACAAGGTAAAAAAAGATGTTACAACTAGCAAAGGAAATGTGAACGAATCAGGTAATACTACTTGAATTCTTTGCTTTGAAGTCTTTTTGGTTTAATCATAACGTTCTAATCAAGAAATTTAGAAGGAAATTGCTTGTCTAGTATGTCTGTTTCAAAAAATTTTTTTTTGGTCAGCAAAAAGACTTTATTCAGGGGTACAAGGGTACCCAACCCTTATATAAATATTAAAACTAACTCCAAGTTTAGCCAATCCCAAACATGAAATTACATAAACCCAATCAATGTGTCTGTTTTAAATGAATAACGTTATTTTAAAAGTAAGTTTTATCAACTATGTGTCGTTAATTATTAGTTAGATATTTACTATCAATTTTTAGTTGTCTTTGAATAACTAATTCAAACAAGCACTTACTGTTTTAGTTATAGTAGATGTTTGAACTTGTTTTAAAGTTAATTAAGATCATTTTTGGATTTTTAGAATCCTCAACATGAGTTTAATGCTACCAAAGTGAATCCCATTTGCAGTCCCAAAGAAGGATATCACCTCAGTTCAAAACTATCTTAATGGAAAGCCCAAAAGAATACTATTAAGGCAAAAGCCCAAAATGGAAACCATGGGCTTATATAAGTGTGGTTGCATTCATTTTCCATACAAAGCCGATTATAGCATCGTTGGTGCCCATTGCTAATTCTCTAGGCCCAAGAATAAGCCTATCAGTCACTGACTCACTACCTCCATAGAAATCCGGAAAAGAATTGTAGAATAGCAGCTGCAGGGATTAGATTGAAGAAGATGAGTAAATTTCATTTCACTGTGCAACAAAAGAACACAAAAGATTACAACAAGAAGCCACCTCTGTAGGCTGGATACTCTCAGGTTACAAACTGAAAACTACAAACAACAGTTAAGAATTAATCAGTACAAAGTTAAGGGATGGAAGCAAGGCACACTAGTAGCATGTATTTAGTGTACATGCTCTACTTGATGGAATGTTTAAAGAAACAAAATGTCATGTTTTCATGGACTAGTTTACTGTGTTATGCTCATGAATCAAGGTTGAATCAATTCTGGTATGAGTTTCAGCAAGCATGAGCGTTCCTCTCACTTCCGCTTTCCCTTTCTCTTCAAGTAAGCAACCTTTTTCTTCTTCTTCTTCACCTTCCTTGGTGAGACTCGTTATATCAGATACCGCTTCTGTGATCTCCTTGACTAAGTCGACAATAACTCCCCCGATGCCCATTAGATGTTGCATGTACACAACCTCTGGCACATTGCTGCAACAAGAATGTTCGTTTAACAATCTTCCTTGGATTGATTTTCAAACTCTGGAATTACAGGGATACAAGTAAAAAGGGTATAGCTTACTTCAATTGGCCATAGGTTATGAGGGCAAGCTTGGAGTCTTTTATTCTGGGAACTGCACCTGGATTTCTAAACATGGCCCTGACTTCAGATACAATCCCTTGCAAGCCACCAGCCAAGCACAACTTGATAGCCTCATCCAATGAATTCCTTCTTATGTCAGTGTAAATTTCGGATCCCCCATTAGTAAGAAAAAATACCTGCATGAGAGCTAGGTCAAATACCTTCGGAAGCTCTCCAAGCAGCTAAATTTCACACCAAATTTGGGTTTCTCAAAATTGATGAGGTGGCTAAAATGTCAAGATACAAGTCATACAACTTTGTGACACAGCCGAAGTGTCACGAATTATTGTAAAATCTAGGGACTAGAGAGAAAGAGAGTGATCGTACAGGGTAGGTGCCCTGCAATTTCCTAACCCACAGGGCTGCATCAGGTTGAAAGCTTGAGAAGATGATGGGTCTATCCTTTGCATGCTCAAACACAACCTGTCCCATTAAATTCAGAGAGTATTTAGTTATCATGAATTAAAAGAAAAGAAACTAACACAAAAGAAATGAGAAAAGAAAGACAATTACCCTCAAGATGACTTTAAGTATGTGCGAGAGTTCAACCTCCTTATAGACAATAAGATCATCAAACTTCAATTCAATATTGAATCCCACTGACTGGTCTAGCTTCTGGAAAGCCTCTTGCAACGTACATAGATGATCATCTTTCTCAACCTTCCATTCAAAGATTCTCCCATCTTTTGTTTTTCTAAATAGTGGCTTCCCCACCTGAATTCCGACAGCAAAATACCAAAACAGCTAGAATCATCAACATTCAACACCCATTTATCATTCCAAAGCACAATCAAGATAAAAAAGAAAAAAAAAAAGGGATAAATTGTTACATTCCCAGTCTCTTTCTGGGGTCCATATGAGAAAAACTCATCCAGAGCAATATCTGTAACTCTCTTCTCTACAATGGCACCCTGAAAAATTCAATACCCATCAAAATAAAACAATTAGATTCAGCTCAGAACATAGAGATTATGTCAATACCATATTAATAGATTTTCCTGTTTTACAGCTTGGATTGTGCGGTAAAAGAGGAATCATTGGATGGGAGAGAGAGTTCCCAATATTAAGGTCTCTATCCCATCTAATGATTAAAAGTATAAGGTATATAGTTTAAATTGTATAAAACTTTTTTGATATCAAAATCCCTTAAAAAAAAAAAAAGAAGAAAAAAAAAAAAGAAAGAGAAGAAGCTAACCTTGGCTTGAGTGAGGATGAAGTTGTCATGGAAAATGACTGGGCAGTCATCTTTTGTGACCTACATCAAATAGTGGGTTTTTGTTTACAGTGTCAAGGTTCTTGCTCACCCAATCTTAAAAGAAAGCAAGAATTTGGAATAAGAAAGAAACAAAAAGAGAAAAAGAATAAATCAGTACCCCTTTGAATGTAGATTCCAGAACAACTATGGTTAGAATTTGCAAAATATAATTAATTAATCAATTAAACACGGTTTATCTCAACCCAAAAAAAAAAAAATCTCACTGTTTATAAGCAGCAAGGTTACCGGTAAATTTTTCACCCTAAGGGCTTGTTTGGTACATTACTTTTTTAAAAAATAATATAAGAAAACCGACTAAAATTTTATATAATTTAACTTAAAAAGTTTAATATTTTGACATATAAATCAAGATACAATATAATTATTTATGAAAGAATTGATAATATATTATATTGCCAATTTTTATGAAAGTTTTTTTGGGTTTTTTTAAAGAAAGTAGTCATAACCATTTATAAAAAAATAATTAATTATATTGATATAATCACTTATTCTTCAAAATAATTAATCAATTATATTATAAATATGATGCATTACCTTTTCTTCCATAACCTATTATATTGTGTTTCAATTTGTGTCCAAAAATTATAATTTTAAAGTCAAGCAGTATGTAATTTTGGTCGGCTTCCTTATATTCTTTTCCTAAGAAAGTGGCCAACCAAACAGACCCTAAAGATTTCACATTTTAGCCTAACACATTAATATAAAATTAGCAACGACAACGTTCTTGTGGTTTAATGACCACATTTTCATTGTAAAAGATTTTTCATGCAAAATTTAACAAGTGTGAGATTCAAGTTCCATCTCCAATATTCAAAAAACAATATATATATATATATATAATTAATGATATTGTAAGCTTACAATTATGTACTGTTATCAAATGATTAACTTTTTTTTTTCATTTAAAAAAAGAAATACCAGTGTTTCAATTATTAATAAATGGGTATAGATTAAGAAATAATATATATATTTTTTTATAAATTTGTGTTGAAAAAGTAAAAATTAACCTTCAATTTCTAAACTATCAAATTAAATTTATACATGTAATAATAACCTTGTTTTCTTTTTTCCCAAAATAAATGTCTCTTTTTTTATAGTTACAAATTAACTATATATATATTTTTTATTTTTTAAGATAAATAAATAATTTTTTCATACCTTAACCCAACTCAAGTAGTATGTGTAAATAAATAAATAAATAAACTCTTATTATGCGAGAGATGGAGTAAAATTGACACCAACTTTTATATTTTACATATAAATTTAGGACGAAAAAATGAGATGTAAGAAAACCTTTCTAAGAAAAAAAATGTTGATTCACCGGGAAACAGACCATCGGATGCATGAATTTTCTGTTTGATTGTTGAGAAAACGTGAGAAAATCGATGGAAATCTCACCTGAACATCGAATTCGATGAAGTCAATGTGGCAACTAGCGGCGGCGTCGAAGGAGCGGATTGAATTCTCCTTGATCGATTTCATTCTCCGGTCTGGCGATTGCAACATGTTCATCCCACTCCCTCTGTGCCCCATCACCACAAATTTGAGAAATTTAAAACCGCACTTTGCATTTTCATCGTCATTAACACCTATGCATAAGATTTTAAGAGACAACGAATTAGACGGGATAGTTTGCAATAGTTTGCAAGTACCGTGGAATTAATAGGGTCAAAAGGCGAAAACATACAATTAGAAAAGCAAGGGGAACACATGGATAATGCGGTGTTTTCCGAGACTTGATCGAGATGAGGAACGTCGGAGACGTGGACGGCTTTGAGAGCCATTGTTGATGGTCGGAATTGGAGACGTAGGTGATTGGGAGGGAAAATTGGGTGGTGTCATGAAGAGAATGGTGGGGAGGAGGTATTTAAAGGGGAAGGAAGGAAGGGTGGAATTCATTTTTCACCTCCGTAGCAAGAATATTAGTCTAATTCTTGCTTTAGAGGGAGAGTAATGGGGATTGGAGGGGAATATTATATTCCAATGGGTATGATGGATGGATTGGTTTTGGAAGAAGATGGGATTAATTGGCCATACGAAGGATGGAGGAAATTGTGAGGTTTTGCCTTTTTATCTATTTTATTGTTGAAATCATTTTAGTTTTAACAAATTTTATTTTCGGTTCTTCTTTCATGCTCATGCATGACGTGTAGGTATTTACATTGTAGGGAAAATCTTTCTAGATTCTTTTTATAAATATATTAATTGGTTCAAATTTAATTAAAACACTCTCTAATATTTTTAACATTAATTTAATATTTAAATATATGTTAATTTAAATTAATAACTGAACTTTCAATATATTGCACTAAGTTTTATAAGTTATTTGATAGATGCACTTAATACTTTGATAATAATTAAAGTTTGAATAATAATAATCTCCTACCCCAAATTATATTTGATAAAAAAAAAAAAATCTTTCAATATACTTAAAATAAAAAAAGGCTACCAAGAAATGAAATCAGCTATGACTTTCTCCTCTCATTTCTTTTCCCTACTTGTTCTATGAATAAAATCACCTATGCATAGGAGGAAGCTAACCATTTTGAACGTTAACCCATCCACAAGAAAGTAACAACTGCTCCACGTGAAAGGGTTATTGCATAGGAGAAACAAAACTTTGACAATATTTCAGATGTACCAAGATCCAAGGGGAAACACATCCCTATATCATGATCGATTGGCACCTTTCAGCCCCAGCCACCGTACGTCATTTATTTTTTTGATAATGAGTAGTATAATCTTTAATTTAACATACTTCATAATATATTTATTAAAAGATTATTATTTTTAAATTTAAATTAAAAACTAAAAAACTTAGAATTATAGATACTAATAACCTAAATATATTAAATCGAATAGTGTAGGCCTGTAGTAATCATTTTCTTATTCCATTCAAACACTCATTGCCATGTTTATAATGATCGGAAGTGGGGGATCATAATGATACCTTGGAATTTAGAAATTGGCATGTTTATAATGAGTCATCCTTCATCATTTAAAGAGATATTGCTTGGCAAATGCAGTAGGCAAAGGACACAGTTTGTCCACTCATGGTTCATCCACGATGCACCTATTTAAAATATGTAAGTTCAAGAGTGAAAAAGTGACACATTTTGAATGGAATCATGAATCGTAATGCACTAGCGGAGGACAATTTTGAATCAGCATCAAGACAACTTTTCATTAAGCATGTTGAGATGAATTTATTTCCTGTGTGTTTAAAGGCAGCTGCAGCCATCCTTTCTTTTTTAGAAAAAAAAATTGTTTCTATCCATCTTAAAGTTCAAATATGGGAATTTTCAATTTAATATAATTTAATTCTTATTCATTAAGACACTCCAGGGAGAATAGAGATGAAATTAGCAAGTACAAGAGCAATGGCGATTTTCTTTATCCACAAGATGGTGGCTGCACTACAATTTTGCATGAACTTATTTTGCAAAACTACTACTTTTGTTTGAGAAATACAGGACATTCAAAATCCCTCCAGAGAATACAACAATCCTTCAGAAAAGGACATTTATGTAAACAGATTTCTTGGTTGAACAGCTTTCAAGAAGAAAGATTCTGAACAAGAAACTGAGTTCAAATGAACTGATACTACTGTGTTCCCAACACCATCTCTATTTCAATTCTTTTCTTCAAGGTGATTCGTACATGTTCTCCGAATCTCCAAACTTTACTTCCATTAGAGCTTTGCAAAAACAGGTTTTCTTTTCTGGATTTGTGCAGAGACTGCTTCATTTAGATCATTGGAGAGAAGCATTGAAGAGTTCCAAGTTGAAACATAATCTAGTCCTTGATCCAGGGTCATGTCCCGGCCTTTTAGCAAGACAGCTTTGGTCCCAGTGACAGCAAGAGGAGACTTACCAGCAATTCCTGCCAAAAGCATTAGAGAGAAATAACTTAGCTATGTATTTCATACTTTATGTACAGGTTCCCTATATACAATAGTATATAACATAAAAATGGCTGAAAACCTGAAGCAGCCACTCTAAAATTTAAAGATCACAAAAACAAGTACTAAAGTTTCCACTTCTATGCAAACAAAACCATCTAGATGGTGGACTATAATCTAATTGCTAAGTATGTGACAAGTTGATGGGTGGAAAATAAAGCTTGCTTTAACAGACCATGCAACTAAAATTAAACCAATCAACTACTCTGCAACATATGCAATTTGTCTCAATCCCATCTTCCATTGGTGAAAATGTTGATAGAAGACATGCAGACTTCCACTGGAAAAATTCTCAAGAAACAGGACAACAAAAACCAACCATCAAAGCATGACAAGAAAACCTTGGGCTAAAATTATTGCATTATCTTCCAACCTTAACTGGAATGCGCTGTAGAATGAAAAGGACTTTTTATGTTAAATGCTTAAAAGCAAAATTTTAAAAGAAAGAAACATAAAAACAGAATCCATAAAATAGAAAAATCTAAAAGTGACTCAGAAGTTTATGGTAGGGGCATTAGAAAATCAATTAGAAAAGAACACATTCCATATCTTTGGTGAGATAGCCTGTTGAAGGCATGCTATCCACTAATGGTGGGTGATAGCCTAACCGTCAATGATACCATGGACCAAAAACCATGGTAAGCCCAGCCATTGTCATCTATTCCTCAGCACATGGAGGTGACTGCAAATGAATTATGTCTTAACAAACAGTTCAGACTCAAGTTGGCCTTAGTTAAAGCCACACAAAGAATTCTTAAGGCCACACAAAAACAATATGTGTATTTGGTTTGATTGTTAGGAGCAGTTGATAGCTGTAACCATTAGCGGATGGCAGAAGGAACAACTAATATCCATCATTTAACAGTTTGAAATCAACCTATAAACAGATGTTTCCAAGCACCTTAGTAGCTTGATCGATAAACACATTTATAGTATTTTGTGCGGCCACTCAAGTTCCATATTGTAATCGAGGTTGATTAACTTGTTCAGCTGAACTCAAATTCAGATTGAGTTCGAGCTCGGTTGAAATTTTAACTTTCTATATCTTCTCATGACTTCATGCAAATTTGCACTCACTACAACAAAACACCTGGGGTGAACAAAACTCCATCTTTACTTCTAAATGTTCATCTAAAGCATGAGAAGAATCATTTCTAATAAATACCCTAAATCACTAGGCTGCAAAATACACCTATAAAACAACAATTCATCAATGGCAAACTAAGACAAAAAAATAAAATAAAATAAAATAAATAAAAACCTTCCAAAAAAATTGTAGAAGCTCAACAACAGTGGGAATTAAGGAAGCAAGAAAAGTGAGAAATGGAAAGAAAGAGATAAACTAACCCTCGGCAATAACGCTAGCAGCCTCATTCAGTTCCTCTTTGGTTCCAAAAACCCGGGAAACCAGACCCAGCTCCTTCGCCTCCGAACCCGAGAATGGACGACCTGTCAACGCCAGCTCCATAGCGTTTCCAAATCCGACAATTCCGGGCAATCTCTGGAGCGTTCCGAGATCTGCGGTGATCGCTAGATCGACCTCCTTCACCGAGAAGAAGGCATCTTTAGTACAGAACCTTATGTCACAGGCCGTCACGATATCAACACCCCCTCCAATGCACGCTCCACTAATCGCCGCGATCACAGGCTTCCGGCACCGCTCGATGGCCGTTATCGCGTCTTGCATCCACAATATCTTCCGGCGGAGACGCTCCCCGGCACGGCCACGGTCGCTCGTATTGTCATCTGAGATGGTAGATAGAGCTTTGAGGTCAATCCCAGAGCAAAAGTGACCCCCAGAGCCGGATAAAACTATGACGGCGGTGTCAGGGTTCTGGTCGAGGGAGTGCAGAGCTTTGGGGAATTCGGTGAAGAATTCAAGCGACAGCGCGTTACGGCGTGAGGGACGGTTCAGAATTAGGTGAAAAACTCCCGAATTTGGGGAGTTCCGGAGGATTTCTAGGGTCTCGTATTTCTCCATTTCTCTGGTTTGGATGAGGAGGAAGAGATGAGGCAAAAATGTGCAAGGGACGGGGAAAAAAAACCAGGGGAAAAGAGGTGAAGGTCCTACCGGGAGTCGAACCCAGGTCGCTGGATTCAAAGTCCAGAGTGCTAACCACTACACCATAGAACCGACTTTAATTGTTAGTTATCAATTCAATATTTATTTACATTGTGGTTTTTTTAAATACACATAAGAATGCCATTTACTATACTTTTTATTATTAATGCACGTAATAAAATTAAAATTGATATTAATTTTATCAATTATTTAATAAAAAATATTTATGTACCATAGATGTTAAAATTAGGTTAAATCTCTAATTTGGTCCTTAAATTATTGTATGGACCGGCAATTTGTTCCATAACCTAAAAAAAAATTCTTGATTTAACTCTTAAATTATTGTACAAACTCCCAATTTAGTCTTTACTGTTTATTAATTTATCCCAAATTGGTCATTTCATACAAAAATCAATTGACATATCTTATATCATTACGTGACATGTGACCCGTTAAATTATTATTTTTTGCCATTAAATAATGGACATGTCAGTTGTTTTTTGTATAGAAGGACTGATTTAGAGCAAATTGGTAAACATTGGTAAACAGTATGAGCCAAATTGAGGTCCATATAATAATTTAGGGACTAAATCAAAGATTTTTTTTAATTTAGAGACCAAATCGAAGATCCATACAATAGTTCAAAGGTCAAATTAAAAGTTTAACCTTAAAATTAATATTTTTTTATCTTTTTTATAAAAAAAATAAAAAAATATAATAAATTCACTTTTAGAATGCAGGATAAAAAAACCCATTTATAATTTAGAAAATCAGATACCAAATGGGCTCGTAACAAACAGAATGGGCAGTGGATGAGACCAGTTTAAGCCCACCAAGCTCCTCGACCTATATCTGGCCTTGTAGTTATAGTTGGGTTGTACTTGTGGCTTAAAAAAAATAACAACGTTTACCGTTGGGTTTGGAGCTGGCCCATTGACAGTTTCAGCCCATTTTTGACGGCCCTGGTGTTATTCATTTAAAAAAAAAGGGGGATATTTAGACTCCATTTCCTACGGATGCATTTTTAAGTTTTTTGTTTTGATTTTTAAATTTTAAATAATTAAAATTAATGATTGATAACTAAAATTAAAAATTAAAATTACCAACTTATTAGGTATACAATTTTAAAACAAATATCCAAAAATCTTAACTTAATTAATTTATAGAATTATTTAATTTTATTCTAAGGTTTCCAAAATTTTTAAAATCAAAACCAAAAACTTAGAAAGACAATCTTACTAGACAAAGTCTTAATTTGCTAAATTTTGTTATTTTATTTTATTTTTATTTTTTGGTACATCTAATGGGTTACCATGATAACACTACCCTTTCCATTATCTCTTTCTGCTTGTAATGAGATTAGAATTTAAAATCTTCAACTTAGGATGTCAAAAGTCTTACTAGTTGAAACTTGTCAAGGATGATTTTATGAAGTTGGAATTTAAAAATTCAAAAATAATATAATTATAATGTTATATAAGATTATAAACTCATAATTAAGAGATATTATTATATAATTAACTCTTTTCATTAAGAGGTCTAATTATGATATTATTATAAATTTATAATTTTATATGATATTATAATCATATCATTATTGTTAAAAGTTAAACCTTTTGTCATAATCCCAAATCAAGGTTCTAAATTAAATTAATATATTAATTTGACTAAACTCTAATTCAAGTAAATCAAACATAAGTTATATTAGATATGTGACGTACCAACGAGGGTTGGATCAAGTGGCAAGCGGTTTGTTCCAGCTTAAGTAAGGTCTCGAGTTTGAAACCATGTGTACGCAGTAGCTTTTGTTGGGAGACCCACCCACCATTCTGGTGCGCCACAGCTGGTCAAGTCCGGAGTAATCGGGACGAAACCCCGGATACTGGACGGGAAACCAAAAAAATAAATTAGATATGTGACGTAATATGAACGTATCTTCTATACCAACATTTATTCATATCTATGTCATGAATCTTATGATAGATATGATAGTTAATTATTAACAATATGAATCGACCCCATGATGATATCACGTAATTCAAATAATTGAAGATGAAAAAGAGGAAGAGATATACCACACTACATAAAGTGGAGATCAGATTCCACCAAAAATAGTGGCGGATGCAAAAACTAAAACAACTTACGTACTCAAATTATTCATACATGTGCTGCATATCAAAAGCTAATAATCTTTTTTCATCATCAAAGCAAACGACTTTAAATTTTGTATATATCAAATCATCAAAGCACGATTCAAACTTGTCAACCTTGGAAAGTAGAACCGTTTGACTTAAAAAAATACTGAAAAACCTTCATTGGCCTTCCTTTTTATCTCCGAAAATTAGTTGGTGGTGGAATATGAAATAAATGATTTATCAAAGACACCTTATCTTATCTTGCTTTTTCTCCGTTTAAATCCATCAACGCTGGAGTGCGTCATTCGAAATGGCCTGCTTTTCACCCATGATTTGAAGCGTGTTTCGAGGTAATCTCCTTTTAATAAAAATTATATAATTTTTAGTTTAGGGATTAATGTTTGTCTGTCTTATTTTTAAAAAAATTAGGAAAAAAAATGACAAAAATCATCTTAATACATGTTTTAAAAATAGGGTAATTTAATATTTTTCAATAAAAATTTATTGAAACGACATAGTTTTAGAATGATTTTTTTTATAATTTTTAAAAGTAAGATTGATAAACACTATTTTCTTTAATTTAAATTATACGATATGTAATTGTAGTTTATCATATAATAAAAAAGAGTCTCATTGTACAATTTTAAAAAAAAATTAAAAATAAAAGAATATCCTTATACTTTTAAATGTGCTGCATCCATTTAAAGATACCTACATTTTCTATACGAGTCCCAATTAATTTTGTATCCTTGCCTAGATTCAGCATAATATAGTGCATTTAAGGAGTTGTGGTTTAGTTATTATAAATTTTATTTTTTATCTTATTAAAAAATATTTAATTTTTTAAGAAAACTAACGGGAAGATAATTTCTTGTTAAATATTCTTCAATTTTATAATTAATCACTTACTTTTGACTAAATCAAAGAAGAATTAATCTTAAAAGAAAGAGAAAATAATTTTAAAGTGGATGCAAGCTAAACCATAAGCACTATAACTATTAAATAAAAAAGGGGCATATTGTGGCGTTGAAGTAGCCACGCTCAAAACAAATTGGCCCACTTTTCCTCCCATTGTGCACTAAACTTCGACTACTAAAAAAGTTGCCCAAGTTTCGTGGGAATAAAAATTGCATATACGAGGGAGTGGGAGTGAAAGGTTTCGAATTAGTGATTTTATTTTTATCTAAAAAATAAATAAATTGCAGTTTTTTTGGCTTTAAGTGAAAAAGTCGCTCTTGTGCTTTTACTCAAAAGACTGTGGTACCAAAACTTTTATTTCGCATTAAGAAAACCCTTTTCCTTTAAATTAATATTGACATTAATTAAGTCCATATGTCAATAAAGGAAATGAGTACCTCACTTGAGATTGATGGTATTCATATGAACACTAATAATTCACAATCATGCTTCTTCTGAATTTCCCTATAATGTGAATGAAATGACGATTATATAATTCTGACATTATAAATTCTTCTTTTGTTATTTTCTGGACCCAGATATCATATATTTGGACTAAGCTCCCCTTGAACTTTGCAAAGACTTGAGGTGGAATCTTTTGTAAATTAACACCAAAGTATTATGTTGAGTGGTAACTGAAATTCTACTTGACTAACAACTTTTTTTAGTTGATATTTATGCATCACTCAAAAATTTAGAACTCATATTATTAATAATAACTGATTGTAATATTTATATATAAGTCATGGTCACACTTTATTTTTGATGTGAGATAGATTAGGCATCACCAGTAATTAATCTGCTCTGAACAAAGCTTGGCTTCAATAATCATTGAAATCGTGGTCAACTTTTTTTCCGATGAATGAAATCTTGGTCAACTTAAAGAGTTGTATGCAGAAAGATTGAAAATTTGAAAAGAAGATTGAAATGTTTCCATTCAAAGTAAGGTTTCCTGAATTCTCCCTCTTGAATAGCGCCTTTAAAGTTCAAACCAAAAATAGAATGATGTGTTCAAGGACGAAATGTGTATCTGAATTTCGCACAAATTGAGGCAGGATGATCAAGGTCTCTTGCATCATATTATTTCCACTCCTTTTCGTTTAGCGACGGTACCACTCTCATGGACCCGACTACATTGAAGTTTAGATCTATATTATTAAATTTGAAAATAATATAGTTATAATATTATATAATATAATAAACTTATAATATAATATGTCGTTATAAAATTGTCTTTTTTACTTTGAAATTTACTTTTGGTATTATATGTATTTATTCATTGAATAACACATCACATATTCAATGATATATCATGATTATAAATTTATAATTATACATATCATTGTAACCATATATAGCATTGTAGTATTAAATTCATCAACAGATAAGTATCGGCTAAGGAAGAAGGATCTATCATTCTAAGTCTATATAGGGAATCTTATAGAGGGTCATTGTCACTCTATATCAAGGGATTGATTAAGAAGATGATGATACGAATGTCTAGTTTACCGGCAGGCTTTATAATCCTTCTCTTCAAAATTTAGTATTTATTTTGTACAACAACATATTTACTATACATAATATGTATTTATTAATCATTTAATTAAATTAATGGTCTTACAGATCTAATTAATTTGACTAATTAGACCAAAAATCAAAACGATTTGCCTTTTGATTCGGCTTTAAAAACGTTAATTATCACTTTATATGAAGTGGTTGATTTAGAGGGTTATCATGATACGTCTAGTTTATTTGTAGGCTTTATGATCCTTCCCTTCCAGCTAATGCATCATATTGGATCAGTCATCATTATTGTGATTATCCATTTTGATTAGTAAATATTCTTTCAAAGGCTTTGTTACAAAAAATTCAGGG